CCCAACACACTATTCAGACTCAACCCTCTGTTACATAATTACTACTCTGAATGGTTGATGTGCTGAATTCTTACAACTTGCACTGCTCTGTTTCTGTTTTCACACTTTAGAGGCTTTTAGTTTTTATTAACAAGTTGACATCATGTCATTTAATGTTATTGAACTATTTGCTCTGTCATCAGCTGGTGAGAAACAACAATCATTTAGGACTTTATAATTATGTGAATAAAATGTCTGTTTTAGAATATCTTGGATCTCGACTAAGATAATCTTAATGTGAGCTGGACCGAACCCTGTGGGTCCAGTTCTTTGTCCTCAGAGCAGAAAATCAGGAGCTAAAATTCATTTAATGTCCCAAAAGTTCAATACTTCAACTTTTGTTTTATAAAACAGTAGGCTGGGGTGGTTGTTCACTCTATGGTTGATACACTGAAACACTCACTCAATAAGTCATAATAAACAGAATCTAGATTATTGATTTATTTTCAATATTCCATCAGTCTATATAGTTTCATTTCTCTGCTTCAGAGTTTTTACGTATATTTTATAGAAACAAACACTAACAATTAAGAAGCTTAAATGTTGAATTTAAAATTTATCAATTATTGTTTTTGTTAACAGCAGATAAACCCAGAGCCACACTGACAGCAGGTCCAACAGTCATACCATTAGGAGGCCATGTGATACTGAGCTGCTCTGTACAGACCTCTGCTGGTTGGAAATACAGATGGTTCAGACGAACCTCAGACACCTCTGAAGTTCAAATAGGAATAAATAAGAAAGAAAACAAAAAAATCACTGTGAGACAAGGAGGAATCTACAGGTGTGAAGGAGTGAGAGGAAACCCAGACTTCATCACATATTCAAGCTCTGAGGTCACTGTTCGGATAACCTGTGAGTTTGCTGATGAAAACTATCAGCAACTATATCTACTAAATCAAATATTTTCATCTTTCTTAGTTTAATCACAATAACCTGTAATCATTACAATCTATTTTTCTAATTTAACTTCGTTCTCTGTGTTACAGTATTTATTATGTTTCTTTTTCTCTCTGGAAACAGTTTCCAACAAGGTTGTTGTGACTCAAAAACCAAACAGCTCTCAGATGTTCAGTGGTGAGACGATCACTCTGACATGTGAGGTCCAGGGAGGAGAAAGCACTGAGTGGACGTATGAATGGAGGAGATCTGGTTCTGTTATACACA